TTGAAATCGCAGTTCTTCAAACTTTATCAATTCAAAGAAGCACGAGCCACAAGGTGCTCACACTGTTAGAAAAAAATCAAACTCCTCACCTACTGCACCCTGAGCCCAGAGGCAGCCTTATGCACCTGTCTCCCTTCAGCGGCTCAGGAGTGCAGTAAGGCTCACTCCCATCAGGCCACTGGATTTTCGCCAGGTCCTCATCACACTCGGCTACAGTTCATGTTAGTTCATTGACAAGTTATAGGCTGTTTCTCTCAGACCGCATCTAAAAACAAAGGACATCAAGCAAAGACCAAACACACTGGTCTTAACTAAAGATAAACTAGAAAGTTCCAAATGATTGGACATTAAAAGACAACCAGGGGGCTTGTTGAGATTCTTGGCAGGTCTGTGACAGCAAGAGGGGCTTCCAGGCACTTCTCACTGGAGTTTAACTATAAATTTCAGTTAAAACACTAAGTGTACCCTAAAACTGCCATAACATCAGCTAATGAAAGGTTGCCAAGAGGCAGTGAGAAGCAACAGAGCCTGGCTGGGTGGTGCAGCCTGTTATCCTCATTCTCATGAGACTAAGGCCTGGTGGGTGGTACAGCCTGTTATTCTCACTCTCATGAGACTAAGGCCTGGTGGTGCAGCCTGTTATCCTAGCTCTCATGAGACTGAGGCAGTAGGACTGTGAGTTTAAGGCCAGCCTTGGCTACATAGTAAGGCAGTTCAGAAAGAAGGAAGCCAGGCATAATGGCACACACCTGTAATTCCAAAACTTAGGAGTCTAAAGCACTTGGATTCAAAGTCATTCTCCACTACATAGCAAGTTCAAGGCCAACCTGGGCTACATGAGACCATTTCTCCAAAAAGGAAAAAAAAAAGAAAGAAAAAAAATGAGGGAAATGAGGGAAGGGAAGGGGGGGAAGGAAGGAAAGAAGGCTAACCATCTTGTCTTAGTTTGGTTTTGGTTTTTTTCATTTTGTTAAGACAGGGTCTCTCTGCAGCCCAGGCTGGCCTTGAACTCAGTCTTTCTGCCTTGGCCTCTAGAGTGCTGAGATCACAGGTGTGAGCTCCCACACTGAGAAAGAAATAACTTTTTAAATATTTTTTATTATTATTGTCTGTGTGTGCATGATGCAGGGTGGAGGTGGGGAGTATGCATGCCATGGTGGGCATGTGGAGGTCAGAGGACAGCTTTGTGCAGTTGGCTCTCTCCTTCCACCTTTATATGGGTTCCAGGGATCAAATTCAAATCTTTGGGCTTACGTGGCAAATGCCTTTACCCACTGAGCTGTCTTGCCAGTCCAAATAAGTTCAATGAAAAGAAGGAAGAAGCTGGGCATGGTGGTCCATGCCCATAATCCCAGCACTCGGGAGGCTAAGGCAGAAGGATTACAACGAGAAGGAAGGAAAGTAGGAAGGCAGGAGAGAAGGATGGATGGAAGGAAGGAAGGAAGGGAGGAAGGGAGGGAGGGAGGGAGGGAGGGAGGGAGAGAGGGAGGGAAACGTGCAAATGTGTGTGGTCAGGTCACCTGGTCACCTCGGCTGTCTCTCATCAGCTGCTGTCGACCTTATTTATTCAAAGAGGGTCGCCCTGCTGGGACCTGGGGCTTGCTGATTCCATTGACCAATGAGCCCCAGAGATCTGCTTGTCTCCAACCCCCCAGCAGCAGGCTTCTGAGCACACACCATCACATGGCTGCTGGGAGACAACTCAGGTCTGATGACCGAGCATCTCCCCAGTCACAAGATTTTGTTTCTGTGGTCCAACTTTCAGTCCACATAAACACGAATGTACTAGGACACGTTTTGTATTGCCTGTGACAAATTACAGCTCAAGTTGGCTGAGTTAACAAAAACAATAAATTTCTCTGTAGAGCTACAAGACACAGAGGTGGAGCTAGCTAATGAGACAGGTAAGGGCTTACAGTGGCTTCACCACTCACGGGAAGACGCTGGTGTCCTCAGAACTGACCGTGAGCTTTCCGCCCTTCTCTGGCCAGTTTGGTTAGCTTTGTCTCCTTCTGATTCAAAGAACAGCAGGTACCACAGGCTGCTGGTTTAGTTCTCAGCATCACTTTCTCGACAGGCTAACAGAATTCCAGAGTTGAATGTCCTGTGCTGGACAGGCTTTGTTTGGACCGTGTGCTCATCCCAGGTGGCTGTGATGCTCAGGCTGAGCTGAGGTCACATGCTGGGCACCAGAGTAGAGGAGGCAGATCTTACCTCATCATATACACTACAAACAAGAGCTAGGTGCTTTCACTAGAAGGGGAATAGACAAACATGCTTAAACACTCACTTCAGATGAGGATTATCTGTTCACATTTGGATTAGAGTCAATACGCTCTGAAAATAGTTTTCAGGGAGCAAAATACATGTGGCCTATGTAATTTCACATTTATAATGCAATAAATTGCTTGAAACTTTCCGGTTTTTTCCAGTCCTGGGAGTTGAATCCAGGGCCTTGAGTATGCTAGGCAAGCATCTTCCACAAGCCCTATCACTTCTCATTTTGAGACAGGGCCTCACTGGTTTCCCAAGCTAACATTCCCACGGTAGCTAAGGCTGGTCTGGAACTTGGGTCCCTCTTGCTTTAGCCTCTACCTAACTGGAATCACAGGTCTGTACCACCAGGCACAACTAAATTAAAAATCTTGCTTTAACTCAATATAGTCTATAAGAATAACTGACCTAATTCATTAGAATTAAGAGTGATGAAGTTTCCCATCCAAGAACTAACCAGGCCCCGACCCTGCTTAGCTTCCGAGATCAGACGAGATCGGGCACGTTCAGGGTGGTATGGCCGTAGACAAGGACAGCTGGGGCTACAAGGAGACCCTATCTCAAAAAGAAAAAAAAAAAAAAAATGAGTGATGAAGTTTAAAGAGCATTTTTAGATTGCTGGAAACCCAAAGAGATGAGTCACTGAATACAGCCTGTTGTTATAGACTGGATCCAACCAAGACTGAGAGAAAAAAAATATTGCTATAATATTAGCAGAATTAGAGAAATTTAAGTAAGCTCTGTAAATTAGATAATAATGCCATAGCTTTTCCTGGTTTTGAAAACTGCACAGTGAGAACTGACAGTCCTGGGGTAGCACGCCTTCCTAGAGCACAAAAGAGCCTGGGTTAGGCCCAGCACCAGAGGAGAAAGGGAGGACATTGTCCTGCTCTCTTTGTTTTTAGGAAATACTGAAGTAGAGAGAAATGTGTGTGTGTGTGTGTGTGTGTGTGTGTGTGTGTAATGTGCTCTTAGATATGTAGTGTGGGTAACTGGATGGACAGTTAGAGCAATAGATAAGGGTTGAGAGATGGTTCAGCAGTTAAGAGCACTTGCTGCTCTTGCAGAGGACCCAGGTTCAGTTTCCAGTACCCACATGGGAACTCACACAAACAGGGAATTTGACACCCTCTTCTGGTCTCCACTGCCATTGCACACAATGATGTACATACATACATGCAGACAAAACACCCATACACATAAAATAAAACTAAATATTTAAAAGGATATATGGCAAGTTGTCAGACAAATAGGCAGTCTGCTACATTTTTAACTACTGGCTGGGGGAGGAGAGATGTCTTGGATTTTGTAGGACCTGGTGGTTTACTTAATGTCCTGATCTCACTGCAGCTGACATCAAGCTCCCAACAATACAAGACTGGAAAGAGTTGCTCACAATTTACTTCAGGGAGCCATGAAGAGCAGATTCCAGCAAGCTATCGTGTCTTGGTATATACTAATATTCCGAGTTTTCTATAAGCCTAAAATTACACCAAAATAATTTTTGTTTTAGTTTTTTGAGACAAGGTCTCTCACTCAGTAGTCCAGGCTGTCCTGGAACCCACTATGTGGTTGAGGGTCTTCTCGGACTGGGAGTGCCCCTCTTGGCTACACCTACAATCAGGAAGCAGAGGGGTGAGTGCCAACAAGGCTCGGGTCTCTCTCCTTTGAATTCCATCGGGATCCAAGCTCATGGAATGGGTCTCCCCCCTCAGTTAAACTTTTCCGGAAATGCTCGAATAGACACACGCAGAGATGTGCGCACATGGTGGTTCTAAATTCAATCAAATTGACAGTGGAGATGAACCATCGAAGCATCCCCACCCTGGCCTGAGCATCCAATCTGTATATCAAAGAGCCAAGATAAGAGGGGATGGGTGGTCAGCACAGTTTGCTATTAGTGACCCCTAGAGCCTAACATATCACGATGGGCCAGCTTTGCCCTCTTCAGATGCACCAAGGACAAGTTTCTCTACCCACAGAAAGAGATTAAGAGCCAGGTATGGGAAAACCTAAGACAGTAGGATGGGAAGTTTCAGGCCAGCCTGGGCTACATTAATGAAACCCTGTCTCCAAAAAAAAATAAATTACACATATTAACTATTAGCCATTATTCAATCTGCGGTATTGAGGTTTTTGTTTGTTTGTTTGTTTTTGTTTTGGGGGTCTTTTTGAGACAAGGTCTCCCTGTAGCCCCAGCTGGCCTGGAACTCACTATGTAGACCAGGCTGGCCTCAAACTCACAGAGATCCGAGTGCCTCTGCCTGCCTGCCTCTGCCTCTGCTGGGATTAAAGGCGTGCACCACCACGCCCGGCTGGTATTGAGTTTTTTTTATCTACATCCTGCTCCTTTGAACAGTCTGTTTTCTGGGATACTAGTAGACACTGGAACCTGCTAAGTGGATCTCTCTACATAACAGAGCTGAACACAATAACAATGGATTGAAGGCAACATTTTATGAACTTGACATCACAGACCAGATTGGATTTCTGATGAGCTAAAATGCCTGGGGTTTTGGGTCAACATTACCTAGTTTCTAGCCTAATTTAGAACTGTGACCACGGTGCAACGGAAGCTCTTCCAGCACTTGTCAAGTTCCTGGGCGCTTTATAGATAACGAGATAAATTTTAAAGTCCAAAACCAAATTTATTAGCCCTACATATAGGTGTATGAGTTATACCAGAGCTGAATTCCGAGAGAATATGAAAGCCAGAGCACACACATTTAGTGATTCTGTTGTTTAAATCGTTGCATTCCCAAATTATCACATGCTTTATGCTTGGCCCTGTCCGCATGCTCTAGTTCATCAAGAACGTTCCTGATGGTCTCGACAGAGACTTCTCCTCCTTGGTGTTTTTTTGATGCAAGATTCCACACATTTTCAAATTCTTCTTCAGAAAGCTTGACTCCAATGTTAGTTAATATTTCTGAAATCTAGAAAAAGAAGCATTTAAGGCCAGACCAGGATTTTTTTTATTTTAAAAATTAAATAGTAAAATAAAAT